ATTTCGGGAACAATCAAGCACATCATTTAGAGGCAATGAATTAATTTCGTATGTAACACAAGCATCACCAATATATGTAATAGGTAGACATGAGCCATCCCTATCATAATCGTATCAGTCCCATTGTACTTAGATGAGTTATGAAGAATACCCGAATCTGCAGTGATGTGAGCAGTTGCACCAGTGTCTGGATACCACTCACTACCTTTAGAATCTTCAATGTGCATTGCTGCTAAGGCTGTTGGTATCTCCTCAGCCTGATATGAGTTGTCAAATCGATACCAGCAATGAAGTGCATCATGTCCTGGACGTTTACAAATTTGACATTCCAACCGAATAGTATCACACATCTTCTCATCCTGCAAATGTTTGTTAGATGTTAAACTTGGAGAGGGATATGATTTGGTATCTTGATACCTTTGTGAAGAACCAGCATATGAACGAAATCCTTGACCAGAACTAGGAAAGTTATTAAACTGCTTAAAATGTTGATTCTCCTGATTCTGATTCAAGCTACTTAGTCTGTAACTCTGATTTCTTCCAGGATATCCATAACTATGATTTCTACTGTTAAATGGACGTCCTCTGCCATAACTACGTCCTCCACGATTACTACCTCTTTGACCTCCAAAACCAAAGTTTTTTTGAGCAAGTTCTCGTCGACTCCACCTTCTGCCGAACTTCGACTTTCTTTGTCCATAGTAGGCCGATGAGGATTATACTCGACTTGAGGAATAGCTCGTAATCTTGTTTCGAATCTTTCTAATCGTGATATTACTTCATCATATTTCCCGAGGTTTTAAGCAATACATGGTGGTTCTGAAACTCTCATATTCAGATCCTAATCCCTCAAGAACACCAAACATCTTCGTTATCTCATCTACAGGCTTTCCAATAGCATTTAGCTGATCACAAATTGATTTGTATTCTCTGAGATACACAGATAATGTTCGATCCCGTTTTTGACAGGCTTGTAGTTTTCCTCGTAGTTCAAATTCTCTTGCTACAGACTTCTGTGTAAATCGATTAAGTAGAGTTTGCCATACCTCATATGAAGTTTCCAAACCAATGATCAAACTCAGAATATTCTCTGATACAGCTCCACTGATCCATGATGATACAAGTTGATCTGTTCTTATCCAATCTGTATAATCGGGATTCACAGCTTCAGCTTCATTACCTTCAACTTCAATCTGTAACGTTTGAGTAGGTGATGGAATTTCACCACTAATGAAACCAAATAGTTCTTGGCTTCGCAAGAATCTGTGAAACTGTGCTTGCCAAAGAAGAAAATTGTCGTCAGCTAGCTTGATCGTGACGAAGTTGGAGATGTTTACATGAATTGGGAAAGGATATTTCTGCGTTCTGGCTGCCATTGATGTGGCTCTGATACCATGTGAAAGCTTATGAGCAGAAAGAAAAGTGGGAACAATACGAAAAGAAACAGAGAGAAGAAACAGAGCTTTTGGACTACATCTCTCTGAATACGAAGAAGATTTTCATTATTCAGCCAGTCAACCATACATCTCTTCTGTTCTCTTATTTATACTGATACAGAGAAACCATTCAACAGCTCATCTAAAGAAACTAACAAACTAACAGACTAACAGAAACTAACAAACTAACAGACTAACAGAAACAAAATACAGTTGGTTGTTCATTCAGTTAAATGCACAAAGCAGAGTAACGGTTTTGCAGTGGAAGAGGAGTTGGACACGTGATGCTGGAGGTTCTGGAGATTTTCTTGTTGACTCCATCTTTGTTGACTTTGTCTTTGTTGACTTCATCTCTTTTCTTCTTGATTGAATCAGCAATATCGTCATTTCTGTTCTCTGTTGAAACAGAGTGACAGTTGGTCTTAACAGCAAGGAATTCCAAGTGGGCTCCTAGAACCTTCGGTTGCCGCCTCGATGCCGGCGATGCCGAATCTGTACCCCAAGCGAATGCTCCACAAAGAAGGGCAAAGTATGCAAGGGCATAACCTCTGAGCATGGCAACCATACCACCATATCGCCTCCTTCCTGCTCCGACTTGTGACCCGATATAAACCAAGAGGGTCAAGTTTCTTTGGTCAAGGACCGTACCAAGCTCATCCCACCAGAGATCCACACGAATGAAGCCCCAAAGGTAGTGTAGCTGGAGCAGTTCCCCTGCAAAAATTTTTAGTTAGCCTCAGGCAATGAAGAATTTGTTTAGTGGCTGATGCATTATTTATCCATGAAGAATTTTATGTCTTGGCCCGACTAACTATTAACTCATTCGAAAAAGTTAAATGGTCACTCGAATAGCTTCAGTTTTTACCTTTACACTTCAGATTAAAGTTGCCAAAAACCGAAAAAAAAGAAGTCAAAAGTACAAAAAAGTAAAAGTAGCTGATGCACGAGGACTGGTTACATGAAGACAGTGTACGAATTTCATACCCACAGCAAAGACTCGGAACGCCAACACCATTAGCAGAAACAATCCTTTTTATATTTGCTGCTCGACTGTCGATAAATTTGCAGCAGGGCTGGGCCAATCAGTTCCATTCATAAAAAAACTCGTTTCCATATACCCCCGGTCGCTTCCGCGGAAAAGCAGCTCACTGTTGTTGCCAAGGAGGCTGGAAGAAAATCAGCGACATCCTTCAAGACCTGAAACAGAGCAGTGAGAACATTAGCAAATGAAAATGTGGAGGTCATGTTGCTAAATCTCCTATTGTAGAAGAAGTTGTGATTAATAACGTATCCTAATTAAGTCATTTTGAGCAATTGGACCGTGAAAAATATAGGCCCAATTAATTGCAAAAGATTTCGACCCGAAAAAAAAAAAATTTAATTGCAAAAGATTAACATAATACTTAGTCGATACTATTGCAATAAATTTTTCGACATTTCAAATTTTTAAACTAAGTTGCACATCAATTTCGGAAAATCTCATTTTGATCCTTTTCCATGCTATTCGGCCGCCACGTTATGATATATGCTTTCGTTTCTGTTTCCCAGCTCGAAAATGTCCTTATATGTTTACCGTTGGATGAGAATATTTCTTCAGAAAAGTAATTTTAACTTGCACCAAATTATAAAAATGTCTAATTGCTAACTTCTTTCAATCACGTTGGATATACTTTGGGTGCAGCAAAATGAATATCGACATTATCAGCTAGTTAAAGTACTAACAAAAGCAACACATATGTCCCTGAATAAAAAATAAAGATAAGAGCAGCAATATCATTTCTTAATGAAATAACTATATTATTATTATTATTTTTTAATTATGAAACGATGCCATCACGGTTGGTTCTGCACGTGACGAAATCTCAATTATTTATATAAATATGAGGGAAATGATATAAATAGTCTCTGAATTTTTTACAATGCGGTCTTGGGAAAATTTCATTTTGGTACTTCAAGTGGAAGTGTTTTCTCAATTTGGTACCCAAAGTGGACACGGTGTCAAATAAGGGCCTGAAGTGCCCAATCAGTCTCAAATAAGGACCCGAAGTGCCTAAAAAGTCTTAAATAAGAGTCTGGGTCGCCGGCTGGCCAAAATGCCTGCCGACCGGCAAGAATGTTACTGTTCCAACACCGGAACAGTAACTTTTTTATTATTTTTTCCTTTTCCTTTTCTTTTTTTTTTCTTCTCTTCCTCCGTCGACCATAGCCGGGGCCGGCGGAGGTCGCCCGCCTCAGGCGGAGGTGGCCCTCGCTGGCGTCGAGCGAGGGCCGCCCTCACCTGGGCTGGGCGAGGTCAGCCTCGCCAATTGCCGGCGAGGTCAATCCTGGCCAGATCTAGTGAGGGCTCAGCCCCGCCGGTCGCTGGCGAGGCTCAACCTCACTAGATTTGGCCAGGCTCAACCTCGCTGTTGTTGGGCGAGGCCAACCTCGCCAGTTGCCGACGAGGTTTGACCTCGCCGGCGTCGGGAGAGGCCGGTCTTGCCATTGCAGGGCGAGACCGGCCTCCCCCGACGCCGGCAAGTTCGAGCCTCGCCAGATTTGGCGAGGCTCGACCTCGCCGTTGCTGGACGAGGCCAACCTCACCCTGCAATGGCGAGATCGGCCACGCCCAACGCTGGCGAGGTCGAGCCTTGCTAGCAACCGGCGGGGCAGAGCCCTTGCCAGATCTGGCCAGGCTCGACCTCGCCGGCAACTGGCGAGGCTGACCTCGCCCAGCCCAGGTGAGGGCGGCCCTCGCCCGACGCCGGCGAGGGCCACCTCCGCCTCGAGGCGGGCGATCCCACGGCCGGCTATGGCCAGCGGAGGAAGAAGAAAAAAAAAGAAAAGGAAAAAAAAAAAAAACAGAAAAGGGAAAAAATAATAAAAAGTTATCGTTCTGGTGCCTTAACAAAGAACATTCTTGCCGCCCGCGACCTGCACCTTTATTTGAGACTTTTTGGGCACTTTGGGTCCTTATTTGAAACTAATTGGGCACTTCAGGCCCTTATTTGACACCGTATCTACTTTAGGTACTAAATTGAGAAAACGCTTCCACTTGAGGTACCAAAATGGAATTTTCCCCGCGGTCTTTGAACCTTTAATTTCACCTAAACTTTAAATATATCATGAATATTGTCACCATTCAACACTTGACCGTAAAAAAAAACACATTATCAACCGCCATCCTCCACGACTCTCCAGTCCCTGCAAATAATTTTTCAACCATCAAATTTTAAAAAAAAATGAACATCATTTTAGCCAAGGAATTATATTATTTATTTTTGAAATTTTTTGAATATAATATATATATGTTATATGTTGACCTTACTTTTTCGTGCGTGGGACAATATTTTATATATTTCCGCACAAATTATAGTGGGTGGCCGTCCTCGCCGCTTCCGCGGGTATGTCCAGTCACTCCTGCCTTTTCTGATTCGCTTGGAAAAGCGAAAAAGGATAGGAGAGGGGTCTGAAAGTGAAGGGAGAAAAGTGCGAGAAAAAAGGGCAGAGAAAAAATTTCGCTTTTGCAAAAATTTCCTCCTCGATTTCAGCTCTCGATTGGTCGGTCTCCTAGGGCAAGAGCAAGAACCCGGTTGAAAGAGGAAGCGAGAAAGAGCAATGAGCATTCCTTTGCCCGCGAGGCACTTGCTGCCTCTCGCCGCCGCCGCCGCCGCCGCCGCCGCCGCCGCCATTGATTGTCCCTCCAGACCCTCGAGATCCTTCCACAGCGCCGCCCCGATTGCTGGGGCCGATTTGAGCGCCTACCCTCTGGGTTGCTTCAGCCCTTCTCATTCTTCTCGCGCCGGATGGCCTCGAAGGAAGAGGCCTTCGCTCTCCCGACAGACGGTAATATTCTCTCGGATTTTGAGTTTCTTTGGATGGGTGTTTTCCCGGGGGTTTTTGAGTTTCGGGTTTCGCTCGTTCGGGATGCGGGTTTTTGTGGGCTCGAGCTTGCTTTTGTGCGGCGCCGGTCCAGTCTCGGGTTTCGAAATGGGGATTTGGCTGGGGGGATGGGACTTGAATTTTGGTTTTTTGATTGGTTATGTTGATTTTGCTGGTGGTGAGTGTTGGCTCATATGCCAAAAGAGTCATTTTGAGAGCGGTTATTTGGGTGTGTTCTTTTATGTGAGGTTGTCTGTATGTTAATTGCTAGGCTGCTAGAAGAATCATCTTTGAGGGTGGTGGCTATATGGGGTGACTTGTGTTTTCGCACGGTTGAGGGGTCGAGTCACCGGAGAAGATGCTTCTTTTCGCCACCTGTCATCTCTTTACCAAGTAATAGAATCTAATGTGCTGTCATCTTTGGCGGGTTGCTCTGTGTCGAAGATTCTTTTGTGCTTGAGATGGTATAAGTCATGATTCGGTCGCACGAGGTATGCGATACGCCCATTTGTAGGATTGTGCTTCTCGATACTAGCAAATGGAAGCTCTAAGAACTTTAAAAGGAAGGACAGCATGGTTCTTGCAACTTAATTATTCGCAATGGATTCTGGTTTAGTTACTGGGTTACATATCCGTAGTTTTCAGGCAGGGGCTTCCAACTTAACCGTGTAAACTATGACGACTTTGCATTTTTTTCATTTCTTCATCCTTCGAATTTCAGCTTCTATTTGGACGTTGACTCTAGCCAACTCATGTTCTAGTAAGGGTTACTGAGATTTGATCTTTATCTTTATGAGATGTTCTTCACAGCTACCTTTTAGAAATCATTAATATCTGAGCTTATGGTCAAAAAGGGAAAAAAGAAAGAAAAAGGACTCGGTTTTATTATCATTTGCTAGATGTAAAAAGAAAAGAACGTAACGATTGCACGTAGGATTGTTCCTAAATGGCTGTAAACTTCCACATGAGCTTATGACCTTCAATTTTCTTGTATGACCAATCTTTTGGGCTGTTGGTTTTCACTAATGATTTACTAGCAGGGGCTCTGTTTTTATGTGCTGGTATAGTGGCTTTGTGGGATTATGAGAAGGGATCAAGATGTCAACAATTCAGACTTCGGAGAGGAGAGTGAAATGCGGATGCTCAGTCCCGAAGACGATGGTGGCACTCAAATTCCAACTCAAGCACAATCTTTGGTGGAAGGATCTGGTGCTGTCCTGGTATCGGAATACAAACCAGTTCCCGAAGTTGATTATTTGCAGGTCAGTGGTTTCCATATGGCAGTGCACTTGGAGTTGTAATTTTTCCTCTTTATGGCTCGCTCCTTCCTTTTCCAATATCTTTTGCTATGTGAATTATTATGTCATAGGAGCAGATGCATCTTTGGGCAGATGGCCTGTCTCCTGTAATGTGCTAATGATATCTTCGCATCAGAACCTGCTCTTTTTATTTTACTGGTCCTTTTCTTTTATTGATTCTAAAGTGGAGTGGGATTTTGTTTTTTTTTTTTTCTGGAGACTGTTGCATCTCGGGAAAATTTTTCATCCCGGTGAGAATGTTGAAATCGAAATTGGGCTGATATAAGCCGAGAGCCCAAGCTTGTCCTTTCAAGATTTATTACTAGATAAGAAGTGGCCATTGGATATCTCAATTGTGAAATTTCTTGATTTTTCTGTGCAATTATTCAGCTTTTGTTGAGAGATTTTGTGATAGTGAGTGAGATGCCACGTAGGACCAGTATTGTTGTGAAAAATCATTGGAGGAACAAAATGACCGAGCAATTTGTAGTATTCTTTTAAAATCATGTTTTTCCTGATGTGAAAAACATTGCTAGTATTTCTCCCAGTTGGAGTGTTTTTTATTTGAACAATTCAGATTCAAAAAGAAAATGGCCTAAATGATCACCATAAAAGCCTTAAGTTGCTATACTTGCTAGAAAATAATTCCCATGTGTTTCAGTGGGGGACAAAGAATTGATCTGATTTCATATCATTACATAATCACAAAGAATTAATAAGTTTTATAACCATTTGGATGGCAAGCCAGGAGCAGATGTAAAACTAAAAGGCTCTGCTCTGAGTATGAGGAATAAGAAAACCCCAATTGTTTTTTAAGGGATATATTGCTTCAGTTATTATGTTTTTTGAATGTTTTATGCTTTTATTATTCGACTTTTATTCAATGCGAAGTGTTGAACCTTTTTAATATGTGTGAATACCAAAATATGCAACTCTAGATGATATTGTTGTACTTCTCTAAAGCTTTACATGATTTTTCAAGTTTTGACTGAAAACATGATAGTATCTTTTCATTCAAGAAAATTAAATAAGTAGGCCCTAAAATTGTATGAAGAAAAAGGGGATGTGACTTAACCAAACACAAACCTTGTCCAAGTAATATCAGGAAACAATTGCCCTAATGGCTTCAACTAAGAGGTCCAAAATGACCTAAAAAAGTATGCTAATTCAAGTGACTCGCCAAATGCCCATAGACTGAAAACCCAACTTTAGAATGGAGTTAAACATTAGATTTTTGAATCATTCAATTTCATAAAGGCATGTGCTTTGCCGCGTAGATGAAGTTTTGGTTTGGTTCATGAGGAATCATCAGCCGCACTAAATTGGTTGATGAGAATCACAATTGACAGGCTAGAATTATGTCACGTGGAATTGAGATCAAGATATATAATTATCCTTCCTCGCCTCTGGATCTCCTTCTTTTTGAAGGTTAAACAATATTTTATCAACAAAGTTACTGAAGGGTTGCCGTCCCTATACAAAACGACTTCAGAAGGGGAGTCTCCCATATTCAAATAAGTAGGAACTAACAATCATTTCTATCATTTATACTAAGCTACAAGTTCGATATTGAACTTTCCCACCATACCAAATGTAAGAAGCATATGACCACATATCTCGAAGAGAGTCTCAAGATAATTCTTCCTGAAAACCTTTCTTGTTTCTTTCTTTCTTTCCAAATGAGCCAAAATTAGGAGAGAAATTATCTTGATTGTTTCTTCTTTCCTGAGCAAGAGTAGATAGTTTCCTAGGCCCAAATTTCGGCTTGTACTGTTCATCTTGCACCATTCTTCCTCTGTATCTCTTCACTTATGATATTGTTGCACTGTTCCTATCTTTCATTCTTTCTTTTATCTCCATCTTGGTTTCCTTCTCTTCTTGGCCAACTTTTTTTCTCTCTACTTTCCTTTTGAGATATGTCTCAATAACACGGTGACGATTTCTTGTTTGATTCAGATATAAGATTTTTTTAGTTCAAATTGTGTAGATTATATCTGCACTATCTTAAATGTACCGTGTGCTTGGCACCCTGTCCACCCCATTTCCTACTTTTTGTGGCCTGGAGGTCAAAGCACCATTTATGACAATGGAATCTTAGTGGCTTGAATCAACAGGAGACGGTCTGTAGTGTTAGTGGGCCACTGGAGGTCATCAGGTTTGTTAGGAAATGATGTTAGTTCCATTTTAAGCACTCTTGGTCTCGGAGGATTTAACATATTCTTAAACATAAGTGCATGCATACATCAATAAATATCTTTATATATCTCTCTATATGTATATACATGCCTATTACTCAAAACAACTCCTTAAATGTTTTGAATTTATGCTGCTTTATGGAGTAGTCTTTTAAATTTAAAAGAAAAGTAAGTTTATGCTTTTTTCCATTGTTTCAAAAGCGGAATTGAGAACATCTTCAATTAACATATTGGAACTTTGAGGCACAGTCTATAGAGATCAAATCCAGTTTCCTAGCATCAAAAGAGATGTGTGGTTGCTAAAGTTTGTTGGGAAATAACTAGGAAGTGTTTTGAGTACACCGCCTAGGGTCATCCAAAATTCAGTACTCATGTAGGTCAGAACATATGTTCCCTGGTCACTTCTACCTACTTTAAGTGATCGCAAGGGCCAAGGTACTATGCCCTTGTTCACTAGTTCCTGACGTAGCTTTATTTGCATGATTCTATTTCTAGGCATGAGTCTCTGATTGTGGTGTTTGCTTCGTTTTGTGACAAATTCTTGACCTAATTAGAAGTCCTATAGTTGAGGCTTGACATCTAGAATTTGAATTTTTGCTACTAAATTTCCTCTGACTCTAGCTCCTATGTTTTTGTTTTTGTCCTTTCAAACTTATTTAATACATTCTTAAAGCAATTTAATTACTGGTATTCGGAATTCATTGCGAATTGATTCTCATCTTTGGCAAGGACTGATGGGAAGAGTTTTGTGGTGGTAACTTAGACGACAGAACCAGTGTGTTCGTTGATGGACTCACTCGAATTATGCTCACTTGCATGAACTGATATACATACTATTCCATTGCATACTTCCTTGCTCTTTGACTGAGTTATTCTACTGCAAGTACTTGCATTATCGACTCTCTCTTATTCCTATGTTATTGAACTCACTAAAAGGATTCATTTTTGCAGGAGTTATTGGCCATTCAACAGCAAGGCCCTCGAGCTATTGGCTTCTTTGGGACAAGAAACATGGGATTCATGCATCAGGAACTAATTGAGATTCTCAGCTATGCAATGGTTATAACTGTAAGATGCTATGAATGTGATAAGAATCATCTTATATTGCATTTGATTACTGACATCTAGCGAAGTTGTATCTCTATCGTTTATGAGGCAGATACCCTATACTATAGCTTGACCTTTGTGACTTTAGTTTGAGGATTATAGTTAGCTATGGTATGCCAGCACCAAATATCCACTTTCACTTCTTAGATGAGGTCTTTTTTCTTGAGAGTACTACTTTCCCTTGTAGAAAAATCACATATATACATCGGGGGCATCCGGGACTAATGCAGCCGTCATTAGAGGTGCTTTAAGAGCAGAAAAGCCAGAGCTGTTGACAGTAATCTTACCTCAGAGTTTGAAAAAGCAGCCTCCAGAGAGCCAGGAATTATTGTCTAAAGTAAGCTGCCTCCCTTTTTCAGTTATTCTGTAGTTCTGAGTTCTATTATTTTTGTGCCTGGTAGAATCATGCTTCTTTAGCCAATACGTGTATGTTGGGATGAGCATTTTTTTTTTCATTCTAGCTTCTTTCTTGTTGTGTACCCCTGGTTCGTCCTACACACTCATTGATCAATCTAAGACTGTCATATGTATGTTCCTTGAACTACAGTGTATCAAAGAGTAGCATATACTTGTTATGGGGTAATATCTTCTGGTGGTTAACCATGGAGAAAACTAAGGGACAAATTGTAAATGTAGCACTTATAACAGCGAAGCTCATTTCTTGAGATTTACCTTATGCAGAATTATAAGGAGGCTGATTAGAATCACAACAAAACCTGCAGTTCTAAGAGAGCAAGTTTAACCTCTTTCTGGTTCCCTACAATATGTTGTTATTTTCTAAAAACAAATTTGTGAAGCTGTGTGGTGCTTGCAGCATGTTGGCAAAAAATGTTGTACATGCTCATGGTATCAGGAATATGTAGTTCATTACAACGGAGTATTTTGTGTAAGTTCAGTTGTGTGAAATTAAATTAAAATTCCGTTCACAGTTGATGTCAATTGCCGAAAGCTAAATGAGCTTGAACTGTGCATATATTGGATCTAGTTAAAATAGATAGCTTTAGTGTGGGTGAAGAAGTTTTCACAGTCTACTTAATCTCACAGGTGCAGAATGTGATAGAGAAGCCTTATAATGACCATCTACCTTTAATAGAAGCAAGCAGGTATGTATTGCTTCATGTATTGCTTCATGTATTGCTTCCTGTGCTCATCTTTTATAGCCTTTCTCTCTCTTGCTTTCACTGTTTGATGCGACAGCTTCATGGATTGTATGACCCCATAAAAGCAGTTGGTAATGCTTCTACCCAAGTTGTGCAATCTACAATATCGGATGCTTTAACTTGTTTCGCTCAATGGTATCTACAGTGTCTTCCTGTAGTACTTACAGTAGCCGGCCTCATTATGTATTTCCATATTTTGTCAAGATATTGTGCTATAGGGTAGCGAAGGGTATTGGTAGAGTTGATATGAATTATCTGTTAAAACACTGATTGAGAATGTCGGTACTATGGCGTAGGGGACTCGGTGGGGGATGGATGGAATTTAGTAAGCAATTGGATCAAACTCTTGTAATACTGAGTTTAGAGTATGTATTGTAGTATATGTTCAAAATAGAGCAGCTGGCAGACTTATCAAGAACAGAATTTGCGTTGTCAGCTCTGAAGGCTAGGGCATAGGAGTTTGAAATTTCACTGCCTCATCTAACCAAATGTTCCTTGCTTATGTAAAATTTTACGTGGTTAATCAACATTATACATATATTTAGTCGATAGAAATGCGTGTTAACTTTTCAGGCGGGCTGCATGGATCTCGTTTTGGATCTGTATGCTTGCTTGATAAATCAAACCCTTCTGAATGAATTCAATTAGAAGAACTTCGCACAACTTCGGTAGATTCAGAGACTCGAGGAACTTGTTCAGCTTTTTCTACGGGTTCAGAATACTTTAATGTTGCTAACTGGATATACATACACGTATTTCATCTGCAGGCTGTGTAATATGGACATAATCTCACATGTACAGCAAGTTATTTGCTTTGCGTTCCATGACAGCAAGTTGCTCATGGAAACATGCCAGGAGGCCAAGAATCTCCGGAAGATAGTGACGTTATTTTACCTGGATTAGCAGAATCTATTCATGTCCAATGTATTTTTTTGTCATGATGGGTAGGGAGAACATGCCGCATCGGGAAAGGACGATGTTGCTTATGGTGGGTGCGTTAGGAGGAGACAGATCTGTTGACATTTGAAAACTTGTAATATCTTAGAGGGCCAATTCGCTCCTCTCTTTTATTTAAGAATAAAGTCAAGTATAGGAATGAAGCATGTTTATTTTCGTCTAGCGAAGTTGTTATAACGAGAGATTTGTTTCTGTGATTAGTGATATGCAAATGATCGGAGAATGGAGGAGACCGACCGTTAGGAATGTTAAGATTGTATATTCGTTGAAAGATTACTGCTAATCTAGGAGTTTGAGACTTAAGATCTCCCTGCTCGTCTGTTCTTTTAATCTTCCTTGATTATTATCCAATAGGTGTAACGATATCGAGACATGTATATCTTCAAAGGAACGGTCAAGCTTGCTGTATGGGTTTTAGGATCTAAGTAGATGCGACAAATGGGTAGGTATTGATTTGCAATCGGGTGATTTTAAGTATGTTCATCTTAGATTTGATGCTGTGATGTCGGGTTCGAGTACCCGTGAGTGCTCCGACCGGATAGCATTGAGATTTTCACGTATTACTGGTATTACTTAAGCTAGATTAGCTCGTGTTCATGTGGGTTTGCATCCTGAATCGTGGGTTATCAGTATACTGACATTCCTTGTCTCTGAAGATAAGATGTGAGTTATTAGAGTATTACTTGGAATTCTCAATCTGTATAGAAATTACAATTATATGATGCAGAGAATTTTTAAAGCTAAATAATATAATTAAATTCTAGGAAAATGGAAAACAAAATCAAGTTTCTTGATGCGAAAATTTAACCCATGATCCGTTTGAAATCGGTATCAACATTGAATTTAAAGTTCAGCAATCTATGAATGATAAGGTAAACATTGTGAAATCATTTACTTGCATAGACAATATGTAAAGAGGCGATTTAACGCTATATTAAATTAGGAGATTTGGAAGATAATTGGAATCTAAATTAAATTAATTTAAAATAAAATAAACTTCTGAAAACAACTGAAGCTAAAATGGAGGGAGAGCTAAATCTCTCTCGGGCCCATTTGGTCAATAGTTAATTACGACATTTTTAACAACTGGGTAAGGTTGAGAATTTACGAGAATCAATGGAAATAAAACTTTAAGGGACGTACGACAGCGAATGGAATAAGTCTTTAAGGATTAGGCAAAGTACACGGATTTATCCTCAATTAAATGGAAAGACGACCCAAATTTGATACTTTCTCAAAAGGGTCAACGAAATTTCACTCTACATTACCTAATTCATTAATTACCAGCACTTTATATTCACCCCCGTGCTTGGTATATAAGAGGACAGTCATTAGAGACGACATATATACAAAGAAGCCCTTTGAGGATCACAGCTAGATGGCAACTTCTCAGCAGCATGCTTCATCCTCCTAGCTCTAGTTGTAATTTCAGGTTGACTTACTCTTTTTACTCTCTTCATACATTTGCCAATTCTCAAGTTGCACCGAATTCTCATCATTAATTTTTTATTTGTGGACTTTTTTCTCCTAATTTTATTCTGTGATGATGTCTGTAGCCGTCTTAGTTTGATTATGTTCATATGAATCACGATGTAATTAGATATTTTGTAATATTTCTCTCTACTTCCGACTATTGTACGTGCGAAGAAAATAATGTATTTAAATATTTATATGCGTATCAAGACTTCAAAAAATTTTCCCTATAATTTTCATCTTCTTCTTCGGCCAAACTGTTCAAATGTGTCTGAGAAAGAGAAGACCCGTTCCGTTATATTTTGGTGCATTCAATGTCCAAAAATCCCATTTCCGTCAATTTTCAAATTTCTTGACAAAAACTCTTGGATTCTCATTTGGAAAAGAAGAAGACCCACCCCGTTATATTTGGTGCATTTCGATGTCCATAAGTCTATCTTAAGTAATAATAGCTAGATGGATTGGAACGATAACCCCTTTTCTCATCAACTTGAGTCTGCTACGTACTACCCCGGAGAAGTGCGCAGATGCGTAACCTTGACCTTCTTAACATCTTCCATTTCAAGCCTGAGATCCGTAGGATCATGACGAAAGCTCGAAGCGCGACGACATCGACCGACCGACGCTGTTTGTGCTCGTTTTCACCCCCTACATGTGTTTCAGGCGAACTAATGGTGGTCCCGAGCGTGGCGGAGGAAATCTGCATAGAGCTCTTGCCGTGGGAAGAGAACAACTGCCAGAACGAGAAGGACCGTGTCGCGTCGCCAGAGTGCTCGAGGAATTGCGAGCAGCGACACCCGAATTACCGCACCGTCTTCTGCAACAAAGATCTCCCCAAGGCCTGCCTCTGTTGGTATCCATGTTGATGTAGATATCACGGTTTTTTATTCAAGTTTCGATCGTGAACTGAATTATCGAGCTTGATCGCCGCATGGACATTTTGTACGCGCTTCGATTCGGTTGATCCATAAAGATCTTTCTTCATGGGATTGCTGTTCCTTTTCTCGCATGCAAAGCGACGGCGTTTGCTCTCCCATCATGTGCTGCAACCGAAAAAATTTAGATGAAAAATTGAGGTTCTTTCTATATAAACCCTGTTTTTTTTTTTTTATATTTTATATTTTATAGCTATGGTCTCTTACTTACCCTCTGGATTGATACTAGGATCAACAAGATACTCTTGATTTAATTTGACGATTGTCTATATTGACTAATGTAATTACTGGCGTAATTGGGTTTAGCACATGGAAGTAGTGTGGTCTGAACATTCATGTGTGGGGTTTATTTGTGGGAAAAGTATCAAAAAAGTCATAAACCCATTGCATTTGTGTCAATTTAGTCATAACCTTTTTTTGGTCTGAACATTCATGTCGTGGTGTTCGACCTCGCGGCCTCTGGCCCATGGCCGGCGAGGTTCAACCCTCGCCAGAGGCCATGAGGCCGCCCTTGCGGCCATCCGACGAGGTTGAAGGCCGTGACCTCGTGGCCTCTGGCGAGGTCGTGCCTCGCCTAGCCGTTGGTGAGGGACCTCGCCGGTCTTGGCCTCCAGCCAGTTCCTTTATCGGAGGAAGAATAAAGGGAAAGAAAGAAAAAAGAAAGAGAAAGAAATGAAAAAAAATAAAAATAAAATAAAAATAAAAAAATTCGAAAAGTATTAAAATATTATTAAAAGTTGCCTACGTCATCACTGGCGTTGCCACGTAAGCCGGCCGGCGTCCACATCAGCAATATTTAGCCAAAATTAGTCGGAAGGACTGAAATAGCACAAAAACAAAAGGTTAAGGACTGAATTGGTACAAAAAAATGTTTATAACTAAATTGGTACAAATGTAATAGGTTTATGACTTTTTTAACACTTTTCCCGTTTGTTTGCTAACAGTTGTTTGCTAGTAATTTAAGTTAAACATACTTATATATAATTTCAAGTATAAATTCTTGTTGGGACTTGGAAAGCTTTTGAAAAGCGGGATTAATAAACTGATATATAATAGGTTTATGACTGCTTAATCAATGTACTTTTCTTTTTACACATCCCAGATCCATCACCAAGATGCGGGGAGTTTATTTTTATCAAGTAAAACTAATAATCCATATTAACGGTGATAGATGTGGGATGCGTGAAAAAAAAAGGGTTGCGCAGATTGTGTACTTAGTATATATTAGGGTTAATACTACGAAAAACCTCAAACTCGTATACCTATGACAATCCTTAACTAATTTTTTGACCTTCAAAAACTCCAAACTGGTATACTTGTGACAAATTTACCCCAATTTTTTTTTTACTACTAAAAATCCAAAACTGGTACATTTATGACAAATTTACCCTCCGTTAAATTGAATTAATACCACGAAAAATCATAAACCGGTACACCTGTGACAATTGGAGGGTAAAACCATAAACTGATATATCCGTCCATTGTCATGTATCATCCCAACTAAAAAAATTGCCACGTGTCATCCCAACTAAAAAATTTGACGGTAAAATTTAACGGAAATTAACGGTGGGTAAAATTATCACAAGTTTACCAGTTTGGGAATTTTTGGAGTCAAAATATTAGTTTAGGGTAAATTTATCACAGGTGTACCAATTTGGGATTTTTCGTGGTATTAACTCTATTTATTAATTGAATCGTGTTTTATATTGGCTATGCAATTATAAACGAAGCTCGGTCGGAGGAGGGACTATGACACATGCACTCGCAAAGAAAAATCGCTTTTGATTAGAAGTTTAGGGATGATGTGTTTGTTTCAAGGAAAGTTAAACTTTTGCAATACATTTTCTTAAAATTATCGCTTGTCCGTCTTGCAAAAAGTGAACTAAATAAAGTATTTCACTGTAGCTAGATGAAATGTAAATGAGCCGTGTGTTCATCTCCGCAAAGGATTTATCACAATATATAGCTAGGTTGCATGGGGATTTACTCTTGTAATAATAACAAAGCCGGTTATATTATCACAATCTTAATTGTTAGAATTTTTAAATATTAAGTCATGTCTTCATCTAACAGTTTAAACTTTTAGAATAGTATGCAGTATTCCCATAAAATTTCACATTAATTAGTAGGATTGAGTTCCACAAGAGAAACGAGCATATCGACAAAGATTGTCATTTTTTTCAGCCAAATTTTGAGCATTATCGATACTTCTACAGAAACTAAGTGACTGCTTTTACAATTATCATAATGGAGATTTGTACTTGTAATAACAAAGTAATTCATTAAGTCCAACGGGATTTTCGGCTAACATTGCAACATTTGATGCATACACAGCCATGTTAAAAATTTGTTTTACATAAAATCGGTTTAAATAAACTTTCTGTGCCTCGTTACTCGGAAACAGATTAAACTTTTTCGAAATCGATTTATTCACAATCTTAACCCAAGACAGCTCGCGCAAAAAAAACTCCACACAGATCTGTGTCCAAAATTGAAATTATCTTATGATTTTTCAGTTCATGCATAGCTAGTGTAAATTAAGCGTAGTTTGGACAAATTGAATGTAACTTTTGACAGTTATTCTTTGAAGCAAAAGTAAACTTTTCCAGTAATCAGATCATATACAACGGATCGTGTATGTAGTGAGCTATCATCGATGTTTCCCCTAGCGAAATTAATTAGCTGGTAAAAGAACTTAGGTTAATACCACGAAAAACCCCGAACCGGTACACTTGTGACAGATTTACCCCAAACTATTTTTTTGACCATAAAAAACCCCAAACCGTACATCTCGTGACAATTTTACCCTGAACTATTTTTTGACCACCAAAAACCCAAACCGGTACACTGACAATTTTACCCCGAACTATTTTTTGACCACCAAAAATCCCAAACTGGTACACTGTGACAATTTTACCTCGAACTATTTTTTGACCACCAAAATCCCAAACTGTACACGCGTGATAATTTTACCCCGAACTAATTTTTTAATATTATTATTTTTATTTTTCGAATTTTTTAGTTTTCTTTTCTTTTTTTTTTCCTTTCCTTTTCTTTTTTTTTTTCCTTCATCTTCATTGGACCAACAATGGATTGTTATATTGTAATTGATACCACAATAACGTGACACGTAACATAAATGCTACATTTTGACCCAAAAAAAAAACATAAACGCTAAATGAAAGACTTTCTTTTATATGCATGAATTTTCATGCCAACCACTTTTTTCTACATTTAAATGCTCTCATGAAAAAGGTATTATATTGTTGTCGTGTCTTTCTTATTTTTGGGTGTTGGGATTTTGGTGGTCAAAAAATAACGGGGTTTTTTGGTCAAAAATAAAAATTTCAGTTATTTTTGTATTAACAAGAACTCATAACGTTTGGGGTCAAACTTCAGATGAACCAATTTCTACTCCCACGCTAACAGGACATTAAAAAAAGACAGTTACTAGAACTTTAAAAGCAAGACAAAATCCATGCTTGCCACAGAATGAACACGCGCATGCACTTTTGTACAAAGACACACATATCAACAGGCGGGGAGAGCATTCAATCACTCAATAGGATTTGAATACAACGTCAGCACCTACAAAAATGAGCAGGAGGGATGGTAAAGAATGGTAAGATGGGCTAGATGCCGAAGAAGACGGGTCCAGGACAGGCCGGATACCGGGAGTTCTTGATGGGCCCACCGCCGGCGTCGCATCCGATGTCGTGTCGGGTTCAGGCGCTAGTGCTGGTGGTGATCCTGTCACTGCTTTGGAAGCCGCTTGAAAGACTAAAAAAGGCTCCATTAGGTGAGAAGATCAACTAGCTCGATCCATTCCATAACCATGCCAATGTTTCCATTGCAAAATTGCTTTTGCAAATTTGACTTTTTGCATGCTTATGACACTACTCCATTTATAGCGTTGAATTTCAGATGGGTGGGTGAACACAAAGTAGAATTATTTGTAATACATGATTTCCCGATTTTCTTGGTGGTTGTAAGGTCACGGGTCTTGACGGGGGTGTCCAATTGACTCAGTTAATCTGATGTGAATTTAGTCATTATAAATCCATGAAATATCGATAAAGTAGGATTGTGAAAAAACAAAGTTTTATTCTTTCTCCACTAGAAAATGAGTAAAAATGATTGGGTATGATCTATCAAGAACAGAACCTGCGTTGTCAGCTCTGAAGGCTAGGGCATAGGAGTTTGAAATTTCATTGCCTCATTTAATCCAAATGTTCTTTGCTTATGTAAGATTTTATATGGTCAATCAACATTATACTTATGGTTAGTCGATAGAAATGCCTGTTAGCCTTTCAGTCGGGCTGCATGGATCTCTTCTTGGATCTGGATGCTTGCTTGATAAATCCAACCCTTTTGAATCGAATTCTATTAAGATGAACTTCGCACAAACTTCGGAATTCTCAATATGTATAGAAATTACGATTATATGATGTAGAGAATTTTTAAACAAATTAATATAATTAAATTCTAGGAAGATGGAAAACAAAATCAAAATGCGCAATGCGAAAAATTAACCCATGATCAGTTTGAAACCGGTATCAATATTGGACTTAAAATGTTTAGCAATCTATAAATTAAAAAGTGAACATTGTGAAATCATTTACTTGCATAGACAAAAAGTAAAGATGCGATTTAGTGCTATATCAAATGAGGACATCTCAACGATACAGTTATACAATTCAATTCAAATCTAAATTAAATTAATTTAAAATAAATTAAACTTCTGAAAACAATTGAAGCAAAATGGAGCTAGAGTTAAATCTCTTTTGGCCCCAGTTGGTCAATCGGAATAGGCCGCAATCGCTAAAATGTCCCGCAAAACTTGTATTTCGTCAATTACGACATTTTCTGCAACCAAAGGAAGTGATATTTTACGAGAATGAATGGAAACAAATCTTTAATTATGAGGCAAGGTACCCGAATTTATGGTCAATTAGATGGACAGACAAACCCGAAATTAACACTTTCTCAAAAGGGTTAAAGAAATCTGATTCTAAATTATCTAAATCCTTAATTACCAGCACTTAATTTCATCCCCTTGCTTGGTATATAAGAGGGCGGTCATTGGAGACAATACATATACAAAGAAGCCCTTTGTGGAACACAGCAAGATGGGCAAGTTCTCAGCAGCATGCTTCATCCTCCTAGCTCTAGTTGTAATTGCAGGTTGACTTCCTCTTTTCACTCTCTTCACATATTTGTCAATTCTCAAGTTGCACCGAATTCTCATTGTTAATTTTCTTATTTGTGGACCTTTTTCTCCTAATTTTATTCTGTGATGCTGTCTGTAGCCGCCTTAATTTGATTATGTTTATATGAATCGTGATGTAGTTAGATATTTTATAATGTTTCTTTCTACTTCTAACTATTGTGGATAGTCAGTTTTATTGTACCTGTGAAGATAATAATGTAATTAAACGTTTTTATGCATATTGAGATTTTAAGAGGTTTTCCTTTAATCTTCATTTTCTTTGGCAAAACTGTTAAAATTTATTTGAAAAAGAGAAGACTCGTTCCCTTAAACTTTAGTGTATCCAATGTCCAAAAACCTTTGACCCAAAAAAAAAATAATTGTCGAAAAATCCATTTCCCTTAAATTTTCAATTTCTTGACAAAATCCCATAAATTTTCATCCGAAAAAGAAAAGACTTGTTCTGCTATATTTGGTGTATTTTGATGTCCCAAAGTCTATTTCATTATGACATCTAGATAGATGCACAGATGATTGTTTATATTTCTAGGATATTTTCTATATCCCGGATTGTGCATTTTCTTTATTATCCCTAGAACATATTCTAAATGTCTCTAACAATAGATTGGAACGATAAACTTTTCCGTCTATCACTTGAGTAACCCTCGGAGAACTATGCAATACTTAACCTTCATCTTAATAACTTCCATTCAAGCCTGAAATCCATAGGATCATAACGAAAGAGCTGTTTGTGTTTGTTTTACCCCTCTGTGTTTCAGGAGAAATAATGGTGGTCCCGAGCGTGGCGAAGCAAGGCTGCCTGGAAGGCTTGCCGTGGGTGCGTTACTTCTGTGAGGACGGGAACCCGTCGCGAGCATGCTGGGGGAATTGCACTCAGCGACACCCCAACCTCATCACCGCCTTCTGCGGAGGCAGCCAGTACGCCCAGTCCTGCATGTGTGAATATAAATGTTGATGCAAATAACATGGTTTTTATTCAAATTTCTGCGGGAATTGAATTAATAAACTTGATTACTGCATCCTTCATTGGGGACATTGTATCGGCTTCGATTTGGTTGATCAATGGCATCTTTTCCCATATGATTGATATTCCTTTTCTCGAATACAAAGGAACGCATTTGCTTTCCCATCTCTTTGAACTAAGTCGTAGAACCGCGGGATGCACCGGGTGAATTAAGCTCTAGATTCTACAAGCATGATGTGCACATATTCTGTTAATGCATGAAACCGATACACTGGAAAGCTCGCAAGCTGGACGCAAAATCCTATTCTTCTTCTTGTCGTGTAAATATTAGTCTTTCAGCTGAGTGATGTGAGGTTTCTTTTGTTAAATGCCCGTGCGCAAAACTTTGGTGGTCGAATTAACCGAAGAAAATGTTTACTTCATTTCGTTTCTTGCTGATCATCTTCTAATTGAAGAGCTTTGCTTTACTGTTTGTGGTATTTTTCTGAGGTTTGGTACATGGCATTATGGAGGGGTCAGGAACTATTTTGAAAGCTCCTATGGATGTCTGAAATATTTAGGTTTCACTGAGGGTAATACATGGAGCCTGGAGGAACCATGAAACTAGAATATCTTAATTACTACAATGAAAACCTCTTCCCCGTTTAATGGTTTCTCTGTGGCGACATGTTCTTGTCATTGCTAGTTAGTCGATCCTGGTAGGCGATTCTTGTTCATTTCGCTGCTGGAATTACTTGATCGTTGATTGTGCAAATGCTGTTACCTGGTCACCAGCTTGTCCAAAGGACTATTTGCGAATAGTTAGTGAGCATGAGGAGACAATGTGCTTGTGAAACTTGTGATTGTAACCCAACACAAGGCCCAACACAATGCTTGAAGTACCTGGATAAATACTTATCAGAACATATATACATATGTTTGATGGAAAAGAAAACTGGTTTCTTTGTCCTTGGTTTTATTCCCCATTCACTCGTGCTCTATTGAATAATGCGTTTCTCTGATCCATCAGTGACGGAAGGAGCTCATACACCATTCGTGTAGCTTTGTCGACATGTTTTTCAGATTTTGAAAGACAATAAGCGATAAGAATATGACATCGAAAGTTTGAAGCGTACTTTATGTAATGTTGATTCTTGTTTTCTGTAAAGACTAACCTGTGTTGATAATTTCATCGAAACTCATGAAAATTTATTTTTTGCATCGATATGGAGACATTACACACGCTACAACCAAAGTATGATGCAAATCTGATCAATAAAATATTTTTAATAGGATTGATCAATTCCTTGTCTTGAGTACAAAGGATTTCATTACATCATTTGCTCTCTTTTGGGGAAACAAAATATGCTGGCAAAGTTCCTCACTGCTTTGATCAAGGTAGCTTAATGTTCAGTTTATCTGCAAAAGAATAATCATGGATGAGAATTGGCAAGTTTTCTTTTTTTTAAAAAGAACCATATTATATCAAAGATGTTAATGTAAAAACATTAAAGGAATATTGTATATCAGATACGTGCAACGTACCGGCAACTTCCTTGGCCGTGCAATCACCATCGCACTTCATCTCGCAGAAGGTTGAGCCATTGCCATCGGCTTTGCACTCGCTCTCGCATGTGTTGAAGCATGCCTTGAACTTCTCGTCGGTGGCTGCTACCACCGTGTGGATGTTCAACGCCGCAGCAACGACGCAGCACATGAGGAACACTGTGACGAGCTTGTTGGCCATTTTGCTTGTTTATTTAGTTAGTTTGCAAAAGGAAACGGTGCACCAGTTTCTGGGTTTCCCTGGCTTAAGAGAGGTCACAAATGATGTTTTTATATAGATGGAGAGTGACCTTATTTCAAGCGCTTGAGTCCCTAAAAAGTGGGAAGACCAGTGGACGACTTTCCGTTTGCTTTTAGTCGCATCTCTTGAGCATCGCTAAACTTGCGGTTAAATCAATGGACAGGCGCTAGAATCTCCGTCGCTAAACTTGATGTTGGCTGGTCATTTTTAATATACTCATTGCTTATGCTAAATTAAGCCAAAGATGACAAAGTCAACTGCCTCCCTCACCCCATCTCAATTTAATCCAAAAAAACAAAAAGACAAAGAAAGAAAAAATATCAAAGTGATAATACCACGAAAAATTTCAAATTGGTACATCTGTGACAAATTCACCCCAAACTAATACTTTGATCACCAAAAATCCCAAACTGGTACACTCTTGACAAATTTAACTCAAACTAAGTTTTTGACCACCGAAAATCACAAACTGGTATATTTGTGACACATTTACCCTCTATTAGTTTCCGTTAAATTGGATTAAATTACGAAAAACCACAAAATTAGTACACATATGACAAACAGATGGTAAAATCTCAAACTAGTACACCCGTGAACTGCCACGAGCCATCAAACTTAGTAATTTGACAGTAAAATTTAACGGAAATAAACGGAGAGTAAATTTATCACATGTGTACTAGTTTAGGGTTTTTGGTGATCAAAAAATTAGTTTGGGATAAATTTGTCACATGTGTGCTAGTTTTAGATTTTTGGTGGTAATGACCCAAAAAAGAACTACACCAATATCATAATTCATATGCTGGAACGGAAGAAAGTTCAACGGAAAATTGAGTTTCTTTCTCCATAAACCATCTGTTTTTTATGGTTATATTCGCTTGCTTTCTTCTGCATTGAAACTAGGATCAACAAGATACTCTTGGTTTAATTTGAAGATTGCCTATATTGACTATGTGATTAACCGTGTAATTCCGTTTAGTGCATGGAAGAAGTGTGGTCTAAAAATTTATGAGTGGGGTTTGTTTGCTAACAGTTGTTTACATTGAAATTAGGCTAATATACTTTTATATAACTTCAAGTATAAAATTTTGTTGGACTTGAAAAGCTTTTAAAAAGAGGGATTAATAGTAACTGCCTAATCTGTGTACATTTTTTTTTTACACATCCATCCCCTAGATGTGAGTAGTTTAATTTTAGGGAGTAAACTAATAACTCATATCAATGGTGATGGACGTGGAATGTGTAGAAAATAAAGGGTTACACAAATTGTGTGTACTTGATATTTACTAATTGAATTGAGTTTTATATTAGCTATGCAACTATGATGCGACGAAGCTCGGTCAGAGTAGGGACTTTGATACAGGTACTCGATGTAATTGAGGGTCATGAAAAAAATCACTTTTAATTATAAGCTCAGAGAGGGTGTTATTGTTTCATGAAATGTTAACTGCGAAGTCGACCGGCGGCCCCGCCATGGCCGCTCGGCCCACCTCGCGGTAGCCCAGATCTGGGCGACCGCGAAGTCGACCGGCGGCCATGGCGAGGCCGAAGCTGACTCCCCCGATCACGGCGACTTCCAAATCCAAAAAAGAGAGAGATGAGAGGAGATCAGCGCAGGATCGGAGCTTACGTGGAGCAGGAGTGAGCGAGCGAGCGAGCGGCCCTGGCTTCCTCTCGGCCGGAGCGAGCAAACGAGCGGCGCTGGCTTCCTCTCGACGGCGACAGAGAGAGAGATGAGAGGAGACGGGCTTCAGATCAGAGAGATGAGAGGAGACAAGAGACAGACATGTTTTTTTAAGAAATGATTCTGACTTTGTTCCTCAAAAATGGTTCTGAGTTTTGTTCAAGAAATGAAAAACCAACTATTTTTTTGTTCTCATTTCTGGTTCAGAATGGGTTTTGGAACAAAAATTTGTCCCGAAAATAGAAAAATGAAATTGCGTTAATAAACGGGTTTCTGGTTCAAAACTGATTCTGGGAACAAAAAACCAGTTCTGGACTGAACCAGAATGGTTATCATGCGGTACCTTAACGTTTGAAAAATAATTTCTTAAAAATTATCGCTTGTATCTCTTATAAAAGTGAACTAAAAAATGTATATTCATCGTCAATAAAAAAGTTTATGAATAAATTGTTATTGATAGTAAAAGTATTCTACTTTAATTAATTTTTTCAAGCAACAAAAACTGGGTTGTGAACTTCATTTTCCTCTATTGATTAAATAAATTTGTCTTTTTCTTGAGACCCATGTTTGATAACTCGAACAGGTGTTGGAGTTTACTATATTCAATAGTTAATAAATTAAGCATATTTGATAATTATAACTAGTTTTGACTTCAAAGATGAAATTTAGTCAAAGAAGCTACTTAATTCACTAAGTAAGGATGAGGTTACCTAATTCATTCAATGGAAAAAGGAAACCAAGTATAAAATAAAATCTTGTATATTACATCTTAAGACCTAAAACCTGCCATAAATATTTACAATTCCATGTTTGATAAGAAAAAAATATTATATAATACTCAGTATTCAATCATCATCAAACAACATTTTTTTAAATTTCAGCACTTAAATGGTTAACACTTGAAATTTAGTACATAAACTTCAAATATTCGTAGTGACAAACAGAGAACTATTGCCAGATGAAATATAAATAAGCTATGTGGTTTTCTCCCCAAAGTGGGAAAAGTACCATTTTTTAATATATTCCATTGGAACCAATTTGGTCTCGAACTTTTTAGTTGAACCAATTTAGTCCTAAATATTTTGTATTTGTGCCAGTTAAGTCCATCTGGCCAATTTTGGGCAGAAATCGCCGGCAATGATGCTGGCCATCTTACATGGCACAACCGGCTCTAGCTAACGTGAACATATTCTACAATTATTTTAATATTTTTTTCTCAATTTTTTACTATTTTTTCTTTTTGTTTTCTCCTTTTTTTTTTTAATTATGGTCGGCTAGGGTGGGCGAGGACCGGCAAGCCGTAGCCGATCGCTAGTGAGGGTCACGGCCCTCACCCAGGCCATCACCAACTGTGGGATCCAGCGAGGGCGGCCTTCGCCCAGGCCATGAGGCCGGCCCTCGCTTGAGTGATAGTCGTCCTCATCGGATCTGGCGAGAGCTTGGCCCTTGCAACCTAAGAGAGGGTCACCTTCACGGGATGTGGCGAGGGCTTAGCGACCCTTGCCCGAGGCCGGTGATGGCCTGGGCAAGGGCTGCGACCCTTGCCAATGAAATAAAATTCAGAAAAAATGTTAAAAAATTGTAAAATTTGTCTACGTTAGCATTGGTTGTGCTACGAAGGACGGCCGAGGTTCATGTTAGCGATTTCTTGCCAAAATTGGCCAGATGGACTCAATTGGCACACAAATATAAAAAGGCTTATGACTAAATTGGTTCAATTGAAAAGTTTAGGACTGAATTGGTACCGATGCAATAGATTTAGGACTTTTTTTGTACTTCCCCCCCAAAGTTCTTGTCACAATGTATAATTAGATTGTATGGGGATTTATTCTTGTAAAAATAACAAAGTCGGTCTTATTATCACAATCTTAATTATTGAAATTGCTCGCCACTATTGAGTTTCATGAGAAACGAGCATATCGTCATTTTTTAGTATGAGAACATTGGTTATGGACTATAAAAGATAAATTACCAAAAAACCCCAAAACCTATTGTATGGATGATAATTGGGAAAAGTGCCAAAAAAGTCCTAAACCTTTTGCATTAGTGTCAATTTAGTCCTAAAACTTTTAAATTGGTGCCAATTCAGTCCTAAACCTTTTGCATTGGTGCCAATTTAGTCCTAAACCTTTTTTTGGTGCCAATTAAGTCCTAAACCTTTTAAATTGGTGCCAATTCAGTCCTAAACCTTTTGTTTTTGTGCCAATTTAGTCCTTCCGATCAATTTTGACCGGAATTTGCCGACGTGGACGTCTGTCGGCCAGTCACCGGCGCTGACGTGGCACCGACGTTGACAACTTTAATATTATTTTTGAATTTTTATTTTTTTTCCTTTTTTTCTTTTTTTTTCGACTTTTTTTTTTTGGTCTCTCCCTCCTCCCTCTGGCCGGCGAGCTCGACCTCGCCGGCCACTGGCGAGGGTGGTCTCGCCCGGCGAGGGCGAGCCTCGCCTTGGTCGGGCGAGGCCCGACCTCGCCGGATCTGCGAGGTCGGGCCTCGCCCGACCATGGCGAGGCTCGAGCCCTCGCCGTAGGCCGCGGTGAGGGCGAGCCTCGCCATGGTCGGGCGAGGGCGAGCCTCGCCATGGTCGGGCGAGGCCCGACCTCGCCGGATCCGGCGAGGTCGAGCCTCGCCCAGCCGACCTCGCCAGATCCGGCGAGGTTGGGCCTCGCCCGACCATGGCGAGGCTCGCCCTCGCCGCGGCCTCCGGCGAGGGCTCGAGCCTCGCCCGACCAAGGCGAGGCCTGCCCTTGCCGGGCAAGGTCGAGCTCGCCGGCCTCTGGCCGGTTGCCGATCGCCGGACCGGCGACCGGCCAGAGGGAGGAGCGAGAGACCAAAAAAAAAAGTGGAAAAAAAAAGAAAAAAAAGGAAAAAAAATAAAAATTCAAAAAAATATTAAAATAATATTAAAGTTGTCCACGTCAGCGCCGGTGACCGGTCGCCGGCCGGCAGGCGTCCACATCAGCAAAATCCGGTCAAAATTGACCGGAAGGACTAAATTGGCACAAAAACAAAAAGTTTAGGACTGAATTGGCACCAATTTAAAAGGTTTAGGACTTAATTGGCACCAAAAAAAGGTTTAGAACTAAATTGGCACCAATGCAAAAGGTTTAGGACTGAATTGGCACCAAAAAAAGGTTTAGGACTAAATTGGCACTAATGCAAAAGGTTTAGGACTTTTTTGGCACTTTTCCCGATGATAATTTAGTCATAAACCTTTTAATTTAGCCAATCCAATCATAAACCTTTTGACTATTTGCCAATATAATCTCTGTGGTCAATTTTGGCTGGAAATCATTAATGTGGATGCCAAACATCTTATGTGGCACAGTGCTAATGTAGGCAATTTTTTTTTTATAATTCCTTTGAATTTCGCTAGATCTAGTGAGGGTCGCCCTCGTTGGTTTTTGGTGAGGGTTGTCCTCACCAAATCTAGCAAGGGCTATCCTCGCCTTGCCAAAGGCTAATGAACCCTCTCCAGATAGGGTGAGGTCGATGCTTGCTGATGCCGGCGATGGCGACCCTCATCTGTGGCCGACAACCTCCACTGGCCATCACCGAGGCCTGGTGGCCAGTGGAGGGAGATAAGGAAAAAAGAAATAAAAAGAAAAGAAATAAAATTCAGAAAATTAAAAGAAATTGTTCACATTAGTGCCCGCTGGGAAGCGTTGCATATGCCATGTAGGACGGCTGGCGTTAACCGGACTACCACGTCAACGATCTCTCCAGTCAACAATTTATGGTAAAAATTGATCGGAAAGACTATATTGGTAAATTGTCAAATGATTTAGGACTAAATTGATCAAATTAAAATGTTTAGGATTGAATTGACATATGTACAACGGGTTTAGGGCTTTTATGGTAATTTTGCCGGGTACGGAGGAGTCATTTCTTCAGTCAATTTTTAAACATTATATGAAACGTATGGTGTATGTAGTCAGCTATCATCAATGTCTCCCCTAACGAAATTAATTAGCTGATAAAAGTACTTTTGACTTCTGGGGTCAAACTTCAGATGAACCAAGACAAATCTATGGTCGCCACAGAATGAACGTCTGAGTGCATGTGCATGCCCTTGCGTACAGATACACATATATCAACAGATCGGGAGAGTATGCAATCACTCAATAGGATTTGAATACAACAGCACCTATAAAAATTAGGAGGTATGATAAAGAAAGGGGAGATGGGTTTGACGCCGAAGAAGACGGGTTCAGAACGGGCCGGATACCAGGAGTTGTTGATGGACCCACTGATTCTGCAGGTGAATAAGCCGGTGTCGCGTCCGATGTGGTGTCGGATTCAGGCGCCGGTGCTGGTGGGGATGCTGTTGCTGCTTTGGAAGCTGCTTGAAAGAGTAAAAAGCCTCTGTTAGTTGAGAAGATCAAACTAGCTCGATCCATTCCATAAAAAATGTCGATGATTTCATTCCAAAATCGCTTTCGCAAATTTGGCTTTATACATGCTTATAATATTATTCCACTTATAGCGTTGAATTTCAGATGGGTGGGTGAACACAAAGTGGAATTGTTTGTAATACATGAATTCACGATTTTCTTGGTGGTTGGAAGGTGTTGTGTCTTGAGGAGGGTGTCTAATTGTCTCAGTTAATCTGATGTGAATTTAGTCATGTCATGAAATCTGGATAAAGTTGGATTGTGAAAAACAAAGTTTAATTCTTTCTCCACCAGAAAACGAGTAAAAATAATGGGTATTGATCTATTTTCGGCATATCGATTTAAATTGTTATAAACTGGAAAGGACGAGGGATTCATGACAAATTTGGGATCGTCTTGAATTCGAAATTTGAATGGGAGAGATTCATGGCTTACTCAACTATTATCCTGTGAACACAAAAAGATAAAAAAAAATGTGTCCATAATATTCACGATCATAGCTTATTTAAGATGTGTGCATGGGCTTTTCATGGAAATTTTTTTGGGAAAGTACCAAAGAATATATCTCACCTTTCACCAAATAACCACTTAGAGGCGTCTGCTTTTGAAAGTATTAAGTACATAATGGAGTTTTATCTTTGGAGACTGCTTTACACTTTCACGTTAATCATATATCCTTATTGCTCTATTTGTGGAAATCGCCATTTTCTTTCCAAAACTACCCATTTCCTGATCCTACATTTTCACACCCACTCAAAACACTTAAATCCAATTAAAAACCAAAGCACCCAACCTTAAACAAGATGCTAAGATGACTTTGCCAGGAAGTCTTTTGGACGTGGGGTTTTGCTTGGAGTAATATATAGGCTATTTGCAAAAATAGAGATGCATAAGTAGTCATTAGATCAAAAGCGAGGTGCTTATGGTATATTTCCATTTTGTTTTGACAAAGGCTTGAGGATGAAGTTTCAATCAGGTTGGCTTTACTAATGATAGTTGTGCATACATATATGTATTGGATGTTTACCTCGGGGGCTTAATAATGATGGAGAAGGAGCCATATGTGGAGAACCAGAACCAGCTTCATGATGATGGGGTGAAGAAGCTGCAGGTGCAGGAGTTGGGCCAAACAATACTGGACCTGTCAATGAAAGTATGTTCATTTCTTAGTAAATTAACAATCTTCGGTTCCAAGTCAACATATATATAAGAACGATGCTAATCATGTGCATGCCTACATAACTTGAACACATCCCAGTTCCTATTTTTATCCTGTGAACCCTTGTACTTTTAACTTGGTGAAAATAACTGTGATTTTACGAATTCATAAAAAACTCCTTCCAATTAGTTCCAGGAAGGTTCGTCGCCCATAACGTAACCAAGCGATCGATTGGAGAGGGTCTAAATGATTTTATAAGTGTACATGGGCCATTTTCACAAAATCGAAAGTACCAGGGGGTCATTGGATAAAAAAACCAAAGCACAGGAGTGTGTATAGTCAGTTTACACAATAATAATAGAATGTATACATGTGTGCGTGCAGAGTTTATGTTTACTTGCTCAGAGTTTCAAGCTTCTATTGCTATATCAGGGTGTACTTTTATGAGGAGTTTTAGGCATATCAACGTACCTGGAGGAGGAAGGGGCGAACCGGAGGCTGCAAAATCAAATGAACAAATTACACCATATCAGTTTTTCACATCTTTTCTTTTGTAATTTTCGAATGAATAAATTACAGCGCGGACCAAGAATCGTTTATGCGTACCTTGGCACCGCAAGGGAATGCCGCCGTTGCAAGCCTGGGGGAGCGACAGCGCGAGGGTCCGGTTGACGGGCAATGGGATGGGCACGTTGGCCGTGAGGACGAGGCAAGTGCAGTCAATGCTGGTCCGCAAGAGCGACTTGAAGGAGTTGCAGCAGCCTGAGGAGGGTGTTGACGCATTCGCGCTGCTCCCGGTGATGAAGTTGAAGCACGGCGTGAAGCTCGAGATCATTGATGCGGTGCACGGCATGCTGATTTGGGCGTCGACCGGCACGAACAGGGTGATCGCGCAGAGCGCGGAAGCTAAAACAAGCGCAAGCTCAAGGAAAGCTTTGGAGGAGCCCTCCATGGGTGTGGATTTCGCTATGTTGGGTGATGTGGGCTTTGTGCATGAGCATGAAAGAGATGGGGTTAGGTTATATAGGAGTTGGAGGGGGGTTTTAAGTGACTTGGAGGGAAAGCAGGAGTTAGGTTTGAAATGGTTCTGGAGTTGCAACTACTGGTGACTTAGCTAATGTCAGTAAGGGGAGAATCTAATTGGTTTTCCTCTCTTTTTGGTCTGTCGATGCTTAGATAGGTTCGATAGTCTAAAAGTTAGGTGCATGTGCACTATTATTTCCGAATAAGATGGATTTAAGGAAATGCGATCTTTGGAGGGACTTATTTTGGGCCAAGTTTTTTGAGTTTGAACCCCTTGCTTGAAAAGAATAGGCCCATCTCAGCAAAGTCCAGCCGAGCCTTCATGAGCAGTAAAGCTTGTCTATGGATCTTAGGCTCGTTTGGTTCTAACATTCCAAATAGGCTTTGAGACTTTAAAGTCCATTAATCAAATGCAAATAGCGTTTGATTTGTTTTTTACTCAACTTTGGGAAAATGCAAAATGCAATTCCAAAATCCTCTAAGTGCCTTTCCGGAGGTTCTTTGGAAAGTAGAATTTTTGAAATGCAAATAGACTTTATTTTTCTCCTAACTTTACCCTCGATGAACTTTCATAATTTCGAAAATGCCCCCCCCTAACCCGACGTCACCGGTTAGATTTTAGGTTGCTACGGCCGGTCGGCGAGACTCCAGTGAGGCCGTATATGGTTGCCAAAGAGCCATATCTGGCATTGTGAACTCAGGTGATGGTTGCCAAGGGTCACACGACCCAAGCCACATCGCTTGAGGTTGCCAAACCTCACGCCGCGTCGCTTGGGGTCGTTTGACCCAGGTGACGGTCGTCTAAGGTCAGGGATCTCAAGCGAGGCTGCCAGTGCCATATCTAGTTAGCCGGTAGTCAGTTTAGCCTAGCTAGCTACTAGATCTTGTAGGTTTTGATTTTTTTTGTTATAAAAAAAACAGTTAAAATGCTTTTCAAAGTGTGATTTTGCTAAACACCATTTAAGCCAAAGTCATTTCCCAATGCATTTTTAAATTACAATTTACCAAATATTATTTGCATTTTGGAAAACCCCTTTAGCCTAAAGGCATTTGCATTTCCTCAAAAACATTTCCCCAAAACTGAACTTAACAGGCTTTAGTTGCCATTTCTCTCATTTAGGGGAAAATCTCGATGTGTTTCTTATGCCATTTCTCATTTAGGGGAAAATTGTCCAAAAAGTCCTAAATTTATTAAAAAGATCTATGTCTTCCTCTAGTTCTCTATCACAAAGATCCACAGATCAAGGACATATACATAGAAAAGAAATAAGAATAGAAGATTTTCACAAATCTATAGAAAATTGGAAAATTCCTAAAGTCCAATTAAACGAAAAATACAAAAAATCCAAATTTGAGAAAATCTGGAAAAAATCTGACCATATAATTGCAACAGAAGAAAGAGATAAACTCTTCTTCCTTTGAAACTCTTCAGCTTTTTGATAAAACCACTCTTAAAAAATATAGAGAAAAATATAATTATATTCACACAAGATTAGTTCAAGTAGGAATAAAACCTCTTACCAAGGAGGGTTTAGATACATCAATTTTTCTAGCTTTAAGAGATACACGACTCTTAGATTATCAGGATTCTATCCTAGGAATGGTTGAAACTCGCCTTTGTAATGGCCCCATGCGCTTTGAATCTTCTCTCGACTTTACAGTGTCTCTCAAAGATAAAAACATTCTTAAATCTTTAACTCTTCAGATCAAAACTCATAATTACAAGATAGCAGATGGATCAATCCCATTAACCTTAGTTTATAGAGTCCATTATAAAGCAATGCTTTCTGCATTTGGTAGCAAAGCATTTAAACAAAGAAAAAAAGGAGAAACAATCATAATCCAAACGGACCTCTCTAAAGCCAATACAGTCGTCCCAACAACCATCAATTGGGATCAAGTCACGTTACCTAAACAATGGGAACTAGAAAACCCAGTACCCCAACAAATTGTTCATAATACTGACCCCACTAATATCATACAACACCCTGAAGGTCGGGTAACTATCTAGTTTCCCAGAAGATATTTTGATACAAGATCTGCCCCTTCAGTTTGAACACCCTCTTCTAGAAGGTCAGTTGATCTTCATCCAAACCTCCCGAGCATAATCACAATTCCCATAAAGGAACCTAAAATTATACAAACTTCTTCTTCTAAACCAAGAATCAATCTTCAAAATACAAATATCAGTGGCCTTGATAATATAACTGGAATCTCTATGCTGATCTATCAAGCCCAACCTGAACCTGAAATTATCCCAGAAAGTTCTGACTCACCTCAGCGTTCCCCTACATATTCATAAATGGTAGATTCTGAATTAAATATGTTAGAAATAGGATTCGAACCAAATATAGCCTTCCTTAATGAAGAATTTAATTCCGAAGAAAAAAAAAATTGGAGAATGGTTCTTTAATAAATTTTCCAGACAAGCCAAACAAATCAAAGAAAAGTATTATGAATACATGTACAAACATGAGATTCATATATTCTTTTTTGATTGGTTTGAGGAACAATTCCTAGAACCAAAATAAATTATAGTTCTCGACCATAACTACAAGTGGAAATTAGATAATGACCAAATCATAGAATCCAATCACCCTCCACTTAGAAAAATCAAGATCCAACATAGAGAAAGTGAAATCATAGCCACACCTTTTAGGATAACAACAGAAACCGATCCTCTAAATATACAAAAATCGTACAACAAAACAACTATACAAATCAACACCTTCACACTATAGGCAAACAATTAGATAGAATAGAAAACTCTGTTCACGTTAACCCACAAACTCTACCAGAGACGAAATCTTTCAAAACACCAATATTCAAAACATTTGAATTCCCCAAAACACTCAATCCAGAATTTGCCAAAGCCATAGAAGACAGAAATTAATCCTTAGAAAAAGGTAAAGCTAAAACAACAGATTCAATAGGACCCTCCTTGATAATAGACACCTCGGGAATACAGCAATTAACAGTAAAAGACACTCCGGACCATACCCATATCCATACCCTTGACAATTCAGATACTAAATCTACACCTGAAATTAATAGACTATCATGGAAAGAACCGCAAAAACTATACCACAGTAGAGCCACACCACCTGACAAAGACAGCTTAAAGAAGAATCATCCAAAATATTCCAGAATAAATATTCCCTTGATGCAATTTATGAATGGAACATATCCGTTTGACGGGTCTAATAACGACTATGCTGCTCAAAGTTATAGATTTTGGACTGATGTTATCACCAAAGGATGTCAATCGTGATGAGATCATGAGAGGCGCGACGAATTCAAGCCGGCCATCTATCAACATTGAAGACTTGTTCTAAGGTTAGAGATATGTTAATGATACTTCTGTTGTTCCCATTGAAAGAAAGTTCATTATATTTAACAATTACCTCATTTATATTTTGTCACGACCATATTCAGCAGCAATCTCTCTTAATATAAGGACATGTTATGTTTGTTTTTCATGGAATATTATAGTGCTTTTACGTGAAAAGTTAAGGGATATTTTTAGGACATTATTAACTTTATAATCAGTCAAGTTTATTTGCTCTATTGGGTGTGACAGACTAACGATTCTTTCTTTTCACAAGCACGTTTGAGAATGAAAAGTAACTTTCTCTTCGTTCCAAATAAAAGTATTTCAATCAGCACCATTTTGACTTGAAAATTCTTGCTCTGCAAACGCTCTCTTCCCATGTCGTAATTCCAGCTAAGTGGTTGTGATTGGATGAACGTTTTCACTTAATAATCAGATGGATAATTAATTATCGACTACACCATATCGTCTCCTAATTAAAAGTTACTTTTGGTAATTTGAAAAAAAAAAAAAAGCGCATGCAAGACGAGTGCGTAATCAGTTTTAGCGTACGATTATAGAACTTCCTCGATTCCGGTGGAAAAAAAATGCAACCTAATCCCGGATGGATTGTGTGTTAAGATTCTCGAGCTTTTCGTCTCAAAAAGCAAAGGTTTCGAAGCTCGACTCAGTCGACGCCGATTTCTTGGGGTCACCTTCAAGAGTCATGTGCCAGTGTGACTCTGTAATTATCGGATGTGATCTGAACGAAAGGATCAACACAGCGATTATAAATTAGTCAATATCAATAAGTACCGGTTAATTATACGATATTTAAAAGAAGAGATAATAACACAAACAGTTCATGAATTTTGGCCCAATGTGCAATTTGATTTATTAATTTTTAATTTGTTCAATGTAGTCTCTGAGCTTTAACCTAATGTACAATGTGGTCCCAAATTTTTAACTTGTTCAATGTGGTCCTTGGACTTTTGGTACATGTTCGATTTTGTCCCTGAACTATATGGAAAATGTTCAATCATTGAACAAATTAAAAGTTCAAGACCACATTGTACATTAGGCTAAAATTCAGAGACTATATTGAACAAATTAAAAGTTCAGAGATCAAATTGCACATTTAATCAAAGTTAAGGAACTATTGAGTCATTTTGCCTTTAAAAGAAAGTAAACCCATAGGGAATGTCTGTTTTCCCCTATGAAAAGCCTCAAGGAATTCCATCGATAAAAAAAGCAGCTAGAGGACAAGACCCAAATGGAATAAGACGTGTGTTTTCATCCAAAATGAGGAAAGAAGCAAATAAATTTTTGAAGAAGCTCGAGAGAAATGGGAGAATTTTTTTAAAAAAAGCGCAAAAACCATCTATTACCTTAAAGTGAAACACATTTACCCTAAATTTTTTTTATATGACACAAAAAATTCCAAACATGTACCTACGTGCCACATTTACCCTCCGTCAAAATTATGTCAATTAGAACTGTTTAAAATTTGTCTACGTAGACATAGTAAATGAGATGAAAATAACGTTATTTTGACTAAATTCTCATCTAACATAATATTGACAAAGAGTAAATGTGTCGCATATATATGAGTTTAGGATTTTTTATATCACGAGAAAAAATTTAGGGTAAATACATCACGGTGGATATAATT